TTTTTTTTGTAACATTCAGGTAGGGTGATTTATAACATGTAAGCTATAAATCATACAGATAACATGGGCTCCACTGGAAATACTTTGCGAACAAATCAAACTCACAACCAATGTGTGATGCAAAAATCCTAAGCACAGATATTTGGTACAAAACCATCTTTATTGTTTGCTCAGAACAAGACATGTGAATTGTCACCCACAACTTATTGGTGTCAGTACTAAATCATTTATTGGCTAATGGAAAATGCTGAAGACACTTGTATCATAAAAGACAATGAAAATCTGTCATATCAAACATCACCTCGGTTCAACATCCCACATTCATAGCTATCCAATTCAGAACTATTACAATTTTGTATAACCATTTTGTATAACTATTACCACAGCTCCCGGACCAAAAAAGTACAACAGTTAGAACATGTAAGTTGTAGAGTGCAACCTGTCCAAAGCTAGGACTAGGGCAAGTTTAGAGTTGAACACTAAAAGTGCAGAACACCTGCTGCAAGAAATTCTAAACAATTTCGCCTGAATAAAGATATATCCATATTCTAGTTATGGAAGAGCAAAAGACTAGCAACTGTTTGTCAACTACCTCTATCATTTAAATCTTATCTTATCCCAAGCCATTACAAATACAAGAACAAGTGTACAGCGCTAAGAAATGTCTTGAACATCATATAATTCAATTACAGGTTATTCATAATTTTTGTTTTTACGACGAAGGAATATACACCAGTTCCAAAAATTGCACTTACTTCAGTTCTACTGGCTAAAATCATTAGACTAGGTATAATGCTATTCCAAAGTTTTATACGCAATTCAAATGTTCTCACTTTTTACATCTTAAAACATGCTTTGTTTGAAAGGATTTTTGTCTTCACACTTACGCTGCCACCTAGGAACAGTGTGAAATGAACATTCTACTTTACAGTTCTATCCCCCGACAAAACAAACAAACAAATCAAGCAAAGCTTGATATACATGCAAGAGACCATTGAATCAAAATATAAAAGAAAATGGAAAACAAAATCTTAGTCATTTAATGTTAATCATATATTTCATCCTTATTACTTCACTTCGGTAACTTTAACTTTGAATGAATGAGAGCGATCAATACATGAAACTGTATCCCCCTTGTGACATTTTCAAGTACTAAATAAACTGTCCGAAACTCTATGTGTTAATTTAACAATTAACCTAACCCTAAATTATGGGCAGGAAATGGTAGGACAGATTTTAAAACATTAGTCTTATTATGCCCAATGTAGGTTTTCAGTTAAGAGAGTGCACAAAAGTATTCAAACTACATTTTCTATGATCTAGCCTTATCAAAAAAGACATATCGCTCAACACCAAAGCTCATCAAACACGTATTTATAACATTTATGTATGAAATACTAAGTTAATATATTTAAAAATATGTCGCTTCATAGCGATATCGCATTTGCTTCGGGGTTCTACAACGTAAAACTTCATAGCGTCTTATATTTGCATCGATTTTTCAAGTGTGCGCCGACATTGATTAAATCGCGGTAATAAGATCTGATTTTGGTTTTTAATACATTATGATGCTTTAAAAGACATTGGAGATCAATCTACACTAGTTTTGACAATATCGATAGAGAAAAATGTAGCAGCCGAAAGCCGATACAATAATTTATGTTTGTTTTAAACCCAAAGCTACACAATGGGCGATCTGTGTTTTCTGTCCATCGCGGGATTCGAAACCCGATGTTTAAGTGTTATAAGGCTTCAGACCTGCCGCTGAGCCCCAAGGGGGTAGGGGTCGAATACAACTTTATCGATACTTATAAAAATAGACTTGATTTGCTGAACCAAGTAGGCAATGTAAATGTTTCTCAAAGGATATTCCATTAACGGCTTCACAAAAATTGTGAAATAAAGAGGAAATATACAAAAATCAAAATCAGAAAGATTTAAATAATATATTTCTCATTGTAAATGTTTTCGATAAATTAAAACTGGAAACGACTGAACGAAAATTTGCATTTTTGGTGTCGTATTGATCAACTTAATGTTTTCCCGATAAAATCAGAATTACAAAGCAGTTCGGTCCCAAACTTATTAAAATTTCAAAAGTCTACTAATTGGTATAAATTAAAAGTTGGCGTAGCTTATTTTTATAATTGATCGTAGAAAGTAACCATGATATTTCAATACTGAGCCGAGACA